CTCAGTCGGTTAAGCGTCTGCCTTCAGCTCAGGTCATGATCCCAGGGTCCTGGGATCGAGTCCCGCATCGGGCTCCCTGCTCCGCGGGGAGCCTGCTTCTCCCTCTGCCTCTGCCTCTCTCTCTCTATCTCTCATGAATAAATAAATAAAATCTTGAAAAAAAAAAAAGAAAGATGGGTCTCAGACTGCTGGACCCTGCCTGGAAATGCCTAGGGGTTCACAGCTCCCCTGCCCCACAACCTACCCCCCCTCAGCCATTGTCTCATGCGTGTGGAAATATGCTTTGTATCCAGTTGGGGTCAGAATCCAAGCTGCTACTCTCCAGACTTCCCCTGCAGGATGAGGCTGAAGCTATCTCCTTGAGGTGTCACCTGCATGTCCACACTTACTGGGCTTCTCATTTTCTGTCTAGCATGCTCCACCCACCTGTAAGGTTCTCTCTCCTCTGAATGCTTCCATAAAAAAAACCTCTTGCATTCAAATCTTGGCCTCATGGTTTGTTTCTGGAGAATCCGATCTAACCCATGACTGTTGAAAACTATGGTTTCTTCTACTTAAATCACATCAATTAATAACAGTGATATAATCCTGATCATAAGTGACATTAAGAGATCCCAAGGGATATTGCAAACCACTTGTTTATTTGAAAGTTTATTAGATGGAAGAAAAAGAGCGATCTGCACAATTGACAAGATCTAAAAAGACCTCCATGATTATTGGGTAAACCATCTTTACTTTCAAATACATCACTCCACATTTTTCTCAAGTCTCTTGCCAGTGCTGGAGCAGTGACTATGACCTGAGTTTTGAGGGCCCCTGAAGAACCCCAGAAGTACAGAAGTACTGAGGATGACCTCAGGGTCCTGGGGGGGGCCACTGCCCTCCTCCCCAACTCTGGCTTTAACCAGAGAAGCTCGGCTTTGCTCTGTCTTCCACACCGGGTTCACTTGTAATGCCTTTGGTTAAAGAAACAGAGGGTTCACTACTGCTTAGAAATAGCCATAGGCATGGAGAGGTGAGCCGTGGGCTCCTCCAGCTTCTGGTACCTCCCCTACCCCTGTTCCCTTCATGCCAGTACTCCCAGCTGCCGCAACGTCCTGCTTTGAGACCACATCTCCACAAGAAGCTCAGGTCATCACTCACCGCCCACACTAGAATCCTCATACTGCTTGGTGCATCCCCATCTCCCGCCCTGCAAAAGTCTCGACAGCCTTCCAAGCTTCTTTGGGAGGCAGCAGCAAAATACTCCAAAATTTCACACTCTTTTTAGATTGTTTTCTTCATTTTTCTTTAACTAAAACCTAGCTCTTCATGATGCTACTGTGTTTTTTTCTGGGGTTCTCTCACGTGGTGGCTGCTTGATTTCCCAAATCCAAATTACAGTGGGCCTGGGGGTAAGTGTCCTCCTTGTTCTGCCCTGTCTATTCTAGACCATTCTCTCCAAACAGCTTTGCTTTGAATCTCATGTCATCAGATTATGTCACCCACTTTCTATATTTTTTGTAGTCATCTACAGACCTCTGTACTCACAGTCATTTTATCCAGCACATTTTCTGTCATAATTTCTAATGATTTTAATAACCCGACAAACATGACACTTTCCAATTTTGGCCTCTCAAGTACACAGCACTCCTTCCTGCCATGATCTTGGTCTCTAAGACACTCACACTTAAAGGCCAAAGACTTTCAATCCTGGCCTCACTGTAGACTAATTTGGATGTTCATAATATATCAATTCTACATCCAATCCAGAGAAATTAAATCTAACCTACAGAAACCCTGACTCACCATCAAGACTGTTCTAGCACCCATATTTTTTTAAACTCCTCAAGGGGCTGTCACTTACTGCTAGGGTTGAGGAGTACCACTCTAGCTAATTTTCTCTCAAACGAGATCCCTGACAAGAAGCATCTACGTCACCTGGAAGCCTGACAGAAATGCAGAATCTCAGGTCTGCCCAAGTACACTTACTGAATCAAAATGTGCATCTCAACAAGAAATTCAGGGATTTATATGCACATTAAAGTTGGAGAACCACCAGTCTAGCTCTTGTCCTTACCATTGATTGTAAACCCTCTGAAACCCAAGTTCAGTTATCACCTCTTTCTACTCTTCCCTATCTTTCTGTTTTACTCCCCCTAGAACCCTTATTTTGACTGCCTTTCACCAGGACCCACAAATCTACTAAACTTCCCAATGTTATCTCTCACCCCTCTCACGTTACCTCTTCTCTCTTCACTACTTTTCAATGGCCATGTCCAAATTCTCAAAATCCCTTGCCTTATATTCTCAGCTCCCCCATCCCTCTCCTTCCTTAAGGCACTCACTTGGCTCCTCTTCCCTGACACCACCTTCAGAGACTCGCAGCAGAATGTGGCTGTGCACAGCCATGTCGAGTAGGCTCATCTTAAATTCATGATAACACAATGCAAGTGGGCTCTTAATTCTGCCAAAAAATTGTACTACATTTTCATCATCTGTTCATGGTCCCATCCTCCTAGACAGCTATTTCACACCTTCTCCTCTCCCTTTAAACACTACCTCCCTCTCTATCCTCACTTTCAGCTGATGACCACGATTTCTCCTTCACTGAAAAAAGTGACAATCACAAGACAGTTTCCACAACTCCCACTACCCACCTCCCCACCCCTATTCTGCACCCTCTCTCTGGTTACTGGTCAGCTGTCCGTGCTCCCACCCATCACCTCTCATCTGTATTCTGCATCCCACTCCCTTGTGCCTGGTCAAGGGCAAGCCCCAGCAATGTTCCTCTCTGTCTCTTAAATCATTAATATTCCCTCTACACAAAATCATTTCCATCAGCCTACAGACATACAAGTATTTTTCACAACTTAAAACCCTCCCCACTCGTTTCTGCTGGTAGTCACCTCCACATTTCTTTGCTCACCTGACAAAAGGCCTTGGAATACTTGTTGATACTTACTCTCTCCATTTCCTGACCTCTTCATGTCTGCTGAAACTATTCTAATGCACATTCAGCTGCACCCTTTCACCCATACTGCTC